AGATAGAGATAGAGATAGAGATAGAGATAGAGATAGAGATAGAGATAGAGATAGAGATAGAGATAGAGATAGAGCCGAGGTGGCGCAGTGGTTAAATGCAGCACTGCAGGCTACTTCAGCTGACTGCAGTTCTGCAGTTCGGCTGTTCAAATCTCACCGGCTCAGGGTTGACTCAGCCTTCCATCCTTCCAAGGTGGGTGAAATGAGGACCCGGATTGTTGTTGGGAGCGATATGCTGACTCTGTAAACCGCTTAGAGAGGGCTGAAAGCCCTATGAAGCGGTATATAAGTCTAACTGCTATTGCTATCAAGATGTTAATGTATTTTATTTGAATATAATTTACATAAGTGCATCAATGATGCTTCCAAATGGCACACATTACTACAAAGGATTTCTCTGACAGTCAACTGCAAGGGAAACCCTTTCAGTAAAAAAGCTGGAATCAAATTAAAACTACTCACATTTCACCATTACCATGTAAACATCAATGGTGCAGATAGGTGGCTGCGGTAACCGCTCTCCTTTCTCTAACAAGTCAGGAATATCTCTTGTTGGGATCCCATCATAAGGCTTTCCGCCAAAGGTCATAAGCTCCCAAATGGTGACACCTAAAGCAAAAGTGAGAATTCTTACAATACTCCATGCATACCTGAAACACATGATCATTTGCCTGGCTATAATACTGTAGACAATTCTTGTTAAAATATGCAAAACAGACTCCATGAGTCAAAAGATAAAATAGAAGACAAGTGTCCATACAAGTGTCGCTTGGCATTCACCATCGCTTAAGTATCTCTACTTCTTTTACCCAACCGTAACAATGTCTTTGCCATTCCTTTCTCTTGACATGAATAGCTTTTGCATGTTAAATCTCCTGAGCACTTTTAAGCATTGCAGCACTCAATAGTGGATTGAGACCATAATTTTTAAAATCTGTATTTAATCTATCCAAACCTGAATCTGTAAGGCCATTGTCAAAATCAAGATACAAAAATACATGTCAGGCAACTCTCTTAGGATCCCTTGGAAGGACTTTTCCCTTTCTCGATCTTAGAGAAAGCTTAGATCTCAGAGAGAAAATCTATAGTTGGATATCACTTTCTGATTCCTGGAAATTGTCTGAGGCTTTCTTTCCAACATTTTCTATCCAACACTTTTAATACTTTCACGTTAAGAAAAACCAAAGGAAAGCATCCGTCACTATCAATCAAATTTTTATTATGGTCACAGACCATCAAAAGGAGGATGGTCAATTAAAAAGCATAAAAATACACGAGAGTATAAAAATAATTATAAAAAGGGTTTAAAAAATATAAAACTGAAATGCTGAAATATATAAAAACAAAAATGTAAAAGGAATCTAAAAGGAGAGGTAGGAACTTTAGATGGAGGTAGGCGGACATACAGTCTGTATTTGCAGACTAAATCTATCACAGTTGAGAGCACTTTTAGAATGATGAACTAGATGCCCCTTAAGACTAGTTTATGGCACAGGTCTATTATCTGATGGATTTTAAGCGTACAACTTTTTACAACATTAGATGTTCTAGCAGATTAGTATCTGAAACAGCAGGGAGGTGCAGAATTGTCCTGTATACCCTGTGCAATAATAGTGAGATAAAGCTAGTATGAATGTCTCTGTAGTATGGGCACTAGAGGAGCACATGTTTTATTGTTTCCACATGTCCAGAGTTGCAGGGAATCTTCCTGTATTAGTCTTCAAGGAGAGACAAGGGAAGGGCATGCCAGAGCAAATTTACTTATGGTTAGGTTCTTTACGCTTAGTATATCATAGGGAAAGCACTGTACCTATAGGATTCATTGGCAATAGGCTGGGGATTTGACTAGATCCAACTGGCACTCTGTGTCTGCTGCCCACTGTTTAATGAGAGCCTGATCGTATATTCAATTCTAAGTAGAAGATCTGGAGAGAAGCCCAGGGGTGAGATTTTAGTTGTCTGTCTTTTTCTATGTGAATGAAAATCATCCTCGTAGATAATGAGGCAAGACCAAGGAGAAAGTAGTTTGAGCCAGTAATTGAGTATGGAGTATGGAGTATCTATCTTCTAGCCTTCACTTTTACAAGTCTTGTCTCTAGTCTCAGAGGGTCATGGTGCCATTAGAGACACATTTTGGGATTTGAAAAGCTGATCTTAAGAAATTTAGATTGAACAAGTTCTAGTATAAAATATTAGCATCGTAAAGACCTTGTGCTAGTGGCTTGACTCTGAATAGTTTTGAGTGCCGAAGGAGGATGGAATGGATACCTTTTAAGGAATTTAAGGATAGCAGATGAATTCCTCTGTGCATTTTTACTCCCATGGGGTTTCCTACTTTTGGCAGAATGAAGCAACTCTCCCAGGTATTTTAAAATAGAAGACCTGCTCAATCTTCTGGTTATATATCCTCCAGGAATGGCTCCTGGGTCATTTGGCAAATGCCATGATTTTAGTTTTCCTCGTAATTCAACTGGTCTCCCTAGCAACATTATGTTAGGAAAGCATGTGAAAACCTATAGATACTCTGGATTCAAGTAATACCAACCTCCCATCTTTTCCCTTATCCTTATACATGTACAAGTTAACATTGCTGGCTCACAAATTAGTTCATAAAGAAGATTCTCCCATTTGGCTGTGGTGTCAAAGTATCAGAGGCAGAGGCTGGTGTGGAAGGACGAGATAATAGGGAAAGAAAAGTGAAACTCTTCCCAACCACTTCATTGGTCTTTCCACCTGAGCTCTGCAATTACTAGTGGTCCACCATCACAATACTACACAATGTAGGATAGGAGTGCCCTGTTCAAGGTTGGAAACATCAATGCCAGTGTTTCTCAACCTTGGCAACTTGAAGATGTCCGGACTTCAACTCCCAGAATTCCCCAGCCAGCGAATGCTGGNGTATGCGTGTTGGAGAATTTTTAAATTTTTTATTTTTATTTTGTTTGTTTTCTTTTGTTCTGTGTAAGCTGCCCGGAGTCTTCTGGGATTGGGCGGCCTATAAATCTAATAAATTAAATTAAATTAAATTAGCTATCACTGGAGGTTTTAGACTGGACAACTATTTGACTTGTATGGTATAAGACATCTGCTGTGAGGAGGCAGTTGGGCTAGAAGAACTGTGATGTCCTTTCTTGCCCTGTGATTCTGTGATCCTATGAATCTAGGTATATTATATTCTTTCATACTTCTCCTTATTAGATACCCTTGTTCTTTCCACAGAAAGCAAAAACAATTTAAAAAACCTATTCAATACTTTCCTAAGTATCAGGATTATGTCAATGCCAAGTCAAAACCTTGTATTTATACTGTTTTACCAATAAAAGTACTATGCAGAGGAGTAATCACAGCAAGATACGATGAGATGTTACTACTTTCCTACAATACAACTATTGCAATGTGAATTATATGCCTAACTGTACAGAAACAAAACTTGTAACAGCCTCATAATAAACGTTTGTTTTCTATATCAAGAGAACTAAGGTTTAGTGGTTTGCAGAAGGCTATTTATGGGAAGAGAAAAAGATCTTTGCTCTATAGTGGCAAACCTGCTTTGGTCTCTAGCATCTCCAGTGAAATCTACTAATAGATGACGGAGAAAATTTTTATCTGAAATCTTTGAGGGATGATTACATTCAGTTTACTATTCTAAGCTAAGTGGCAAATAATTAATGTCATGTAGGGCAGCTTCTTCATCCTGTTAGAATTCTTCATCATGGCTTCTTGGTTTAAAGGAATATGATTCTAATAGGTAAAAGTTCACCTGATTTCTCACCTGAATTTGTATAAAATAACTTTTTTTTTGTTTGCAAAGTAGGAAATCTATTTTGCAGTGGGCTTTTGACTCTCTTAACTTTCTTTCCTGTGTTCCTTGGGGAACCGTGGGATTGCTGAAACTGACTTTATCTGTCACACTGATATCATCTTGCTCCCAGGCCTCACTCTTTATCTTTTGAGGTGCTGGAACAGAAATGCTAACTTTGGGGAATGTGTAGAATATATGTTACTTGAATTCAAAATTGAAAGTGTTCAAGCTACCAACCATTCCTGATGTATTTTAACAACTCAGCGTACAATTCAGGCTTTTCATGTAAGCTAATATGTACTAGCTTTGACCAGAACAGCCTTTAAAGCAGGAAAGGAAATATGTTTTTGTAACTTTAATGCACATTATTTAAAAAGCTTTTGCCGAAGAGAACTATATATTTTTAATGCCTAGCTTCCTATTAATTAAAAAGTATTCGTTGTATTGCTGCTGCTAATGTTTATAGAAAAATCCGATATATTTATGAAAAAAATGAGTGCATATGCTAATTGTAAGATGAGTACAAATATAGCACATCCAGAACATCTTGAGATAGAAACAAGTGTTTTTCATCTTGCTAGAAGCATTCTGTGGCCATTCCAACCATCCTCAAAGTATTCCAATCTTGAAAGATCCCTGTTTTAAGCTCAAAACTATTAATGGATGTACAAAGAGAAATTGGGTGAGAATTAAAATATTTCATCTTACTGCAATATGGGGCAATCTTTGTTGTTCTGCCTAATGATAAAATAAACACAAAAATAGCACAGGAGAAAAAAAATAACACACCGTAGCTAGCTCTTCAGATGAGGCAGGGAAAAGGAGGTTCGCTGAGCTAATACATACTTGTAGCTAAGCTTAGTGTAGCTAATCTCGGTGCGGTAAATAAACATGTACTGTTTGCGTCAACCACCTTCTTATCTGGACCATCGTCACAAAGGTGAGCATATTCAGATGCCATGATTTGAGCTACAAATATATCCTACATTATACAGAGGGTATTTTGAAAGCATTGTGATTGGCAGAACCACTAATGTATTTTTTGCCATTGGCTTTTAACACAAAATGATACATTTCATTTTCTCCTAATTAAAAAAAGAAGTAACATGTGCCCCTATTTATCTGTTTTCAGTGACTTGAGAACACTTCAAGTGCTCTGAAAACTCCAAAGAGTGGTAGACAACTGTTCTGAAAAGGGATAGACATTTCAAAAATTCAAGGTTAAACTAACACAAAATGCTGAGAAAAACCATTGTCAGCCAGGAAGGAGGAGGAGGAGAAAGGAAGGAAGATGAAATCAGGCCACTTACTTGAATGACTAAATATCTTTGAGGATCCCGAGCCATTCTAGAAAATTCAGCAGCCAGCTCCTTGAACTTGGGCCGACTATCAGCATCAATCATCCAACCTATGGCCATGCGCAAAAAGAGAGAAAAAGTGCTTTTGCTACAAGACTTCCTTTTTCCCCCATAAATGGTTATTAAAATAGTAATTGTGAGGAGACCACTGGAAATTAAGCAGTTATTTCTAAAACTCCACAATTTGATCCTGTCCTCACATTTCCATTTTAAACATTATTATTCTTTACCACACTCTGCGAGTCAACAATCTTATTTTTAAAACCTCTTTCTGAAACTAAACACATTCAGTAGATTCTGGCTTGCAGTAAACATAGGTATAAGGTACAATTAATATACAGTATACGCTTTTTTGCATATATGCTTTTTTTCTTTTCTTTTTTACTGTTCATTCTGCTTTACACATTATCACTATAGTTTGTGATTGCCTGTGTTATCTGTTCTGTAAAGCATTTTAGTTGTTTCTCTCTCTGATTGTGGCTGAGATCTATAATGTCCATCTTCCAACTTCTGAATCCCATTTTGAATTTGACATTTGGATGTTCAGTTCCAGCTGCTATGTAGATTTTGGTTGTCTCTAATATTCCAAACCAGGTACATCTTTTAGAATCTTGTTTATATTCCAAGGAACAAATATCTTTAAACATAAACATTTTTCAAAAGCATAAAGGTGGCTAAACATGACAACATGAATATCCATGAGTGCTTTTTAAAAAAACTGAATTTCATGCCTGACATCATTAATATTTCTGTGTATCTGTTAATAGTGACTATAGCAAAAGCACTTACACTTATGCAGGTGAAACTCGAAAAATTAGAATATCGTGCAAAAGTTCATTTATTNTATACACACTGAATGCAACAAGGGAGCTATTGTTCCATGGTAGAATCCCACAAAGTTGCTCCAAATAAATTAGCAGCACAATTATTAACATGGGAAAGACTCAGTTTGCTCCACTTGACTTATAATTATGAGGTTTGAAAATGTGCCTTTTCTTGAT